AGTCTTCCCATTTTCTAGGACTCTTGTGCCTTATCCGCTTATCTCGGACTCCGATATCTTCGGAGGTAACCTCGGCCTTGCCGAGATAACCTCGGCGTCATGACCAAGACATGTGGCACGTCGGCTGACACGTCGGCGTCACCTTGGCCACGTGTTGGTACTCAAAAAATATATCTTCGAACTCCGATATCTTCGGAGGTAACCTCAGCCTTGCCGAGATAACCTCGGCGTCATGACCAAGACACGTGGCACCTCGGCTGACACGTCGGCGTCACCTTGGCCACGTGTTGGTACTTAGAAAATACATCCCCACATATATCATACACAAGAAAATTTATTTTTAGAATTGGTATTCAATTTTAAATCATCTACCATCTTTTTCTTTCTTTTGTTTCTTGCTCACATTATTTTTTTTTCCCCTTATTTGATGCTATTAACTTGATTTACTTGCAACATAGATAAAATGAATGAGGTTGCAATTCTAGAAGTTGTGAGGAAGAACTTTAAAACTTAGCTTATTATTGGGAAGGGAGAAGGGCTTATTGACGATTCATTTTCTGATCATCTTTGGTGCATAGATCTCTTAGGTTAGGCTTTTCTGAACCCTTTTGGTAGTTAAAATTATGTCTTCACGTTCTAGTTTATGTATTTGCATTCAACTTTGCTTTTTAGATCTGTACACTTGACCTTTGTTCTTTTAACATATTCAAATGTTCTTTTAGATCTACACTATTGACCACATGCTATTTCGAGCACTAATGCAAGAAATATATTGTTTTAGTAAATGTGCGTCCAAATTCAAAACATTGAGAAACAATTTCCGCTACAACGGAGTTCAAATGCTCAAAAATCTCACACTTCAGTGCAGCTAACAGGCATATTAGCGTGTGTAATTAAGATGACCAATGTGTTTTCATTATTTTTGCTTATGAATGATCCATAATTCTTTAATCATGTTCTCTAGTTCAACATTTAATCAATTTTATTTGTAGTTTCAGTTCATATAATAAAGTTTATAGAATTTAATGACAATTTGTCGTATCTTTGTCTCACTCTATTTTTCTTAGCCAACGATAGCACAATTGTCATGACGTTATTCATACCCAATGATGACACAACCCCTACACGGTTTGCTTTATTCCTAGCTAATGATGGTGCGACCCTCACGCGCTTTGCACGTGGGATCCAACTAGTTATTGAAAATGCGTTATATATATATTGTGAATACAAATCATTAGCCATTTTTATATATTATTTTCTACTTTTTAAATTTGATTGGTTTATAATCTCAAGACAATTGCATGAGTCAATGAAACGTAAAGAGACAAGAAGGGTATAAAAGGAAAAAGACATGCACACCAAAAATTTTGATTACCAAAATTATGGTGCCTCTATTTACACACTACTTTTCATTTCAAGGCACACCACTACTGAAGGTACATCTTTAGTAATTTGATAAATAAGAAATTTATTCAATACATACCACAATTATCTATCTTTACCCTTATTCACACACTCCACCCACGATCTTCTCCAACTAACTCTGACCCTAACCCAAACCCTTGCCCATCTCTAGCCGTCAGCCATCAACCTCCACCTATCTCCGCTCCTCGTTGCAACCCTCATCTTCGCTCCTACCACCACTGTTTAAGGAAACAACAATCCAAACCTCTCCGTCGCTGACAGCTACTGCAAAATTTGCCACCGACACACTACTGTAAACCTTCATTTTCGCCAACAGCCACTACAAACCTTGCCGCCAGCACACTACTGTAACCCTTCTTCATTTCTCATTCTTGTTCAGCCCTAACCCTACCCACAACTAGCAGCCGTGATAGAAGAAGAAAAAGAAGGATCGTGAGTCGATGATGTGGAAGTCGTCGAATGAAGCTGCGATGGTGGTGGTCCTGAGCCTCTGTGCTGATGGGATTTCAAGAGAAGGATAACAAAGTAACGACGGTGAGGAGAGGTGGCAGCGATCGCGACGGTCGCAGCAAAGGTGGTGGTAAAGTGTGGTTGTTGGCCAATCGGTTATGGTTAGTCGGTGGTGGTGGCTGTCAATAGGTTAGGTTATGGTTCATGGATGAAGGGGATAGTCCTTTGTGGTCATTTTGTATTAGGATAATATTGTAATAAAAAATAAACTAATTAACGATATGTCTTGAGATAAGAGGTGGTGTATAAATAGAGACATCCCAATATTATCCAGGAAGGATAAGAGAAAAAATTAATAATCCAGAGTGACGTTGCAATGCTCAAATGGAAAGAAACAAACAAGTGATTATGGGGTGTTTTGGAAACTTGGCTTTTAATCACTTTTTTTGGTTTGTAGCAAAAATCAAAAGTTGATTTTTTTTGTATTTTTTTTTCATTTGGGAAGTTGATTTTTAGCCATTGGTGAAATTACAATTCTACCCCTCATGGGTTAAAATGTGCTACATAGATGAAGTTATAAATATTTTAAATTGAATGGAGGTAGTTTGATCATTTTATTGTGATTCGACATTATAAATAAATATTAATTAAAAAAGCCAAAAGTTACTTTTTACCAACTTATCAAATCATTTATTTAAAAAAACTAAAAACTTAATTAAAAGTAAAAAAATTACTATTTACCATGTTCCCAAAATACACATATATCTTGTATTTGGGTTGTAAAAATGACGAGGATGGCGAGGAAAGATGAGACACGTAGACATTAACCAGTAACAATTAGGCAGGTGGTGTCAAAAGGTTTGCACAATAAGAGAAGCCCATGATAAGACAATGAGGGTGTTTCCACGGTAATATTTTCAGGAAACTGAAAGTTACATGTGAAAGTGGCGGACAGAGGATGATGTCGATATGATCACCAGCGTCAAGAGGATATCGAAGGGTTTTGTGTGACATCAAAAATTTCGCATACCCCCACTATAACAAAACAAAGACATGTATTTGGTTTGAATTTTTTGAATTAAGTTTTTTAAAAATTAGATTTTTAATTTTTGTATTTTTTTTTGTTTTTAATGAATATTTTTAAATTTTAAACATTTTTTTAATATTTTTTTAGATGCACCTTAGTTAGATGTATCTAAATAGTGAAAAATTTATGAAAAGATATTTTAAAAAATTAATAAATATATAAAAATACAAAAAATGTATTAAATTCTTGTATTTTTTTTTATATTTTTGGTATTTAGTGAATTTTTAAAAGATTTTTTTATAATTTTTTTTATTTTTTAAGTATATTTATGTTAGGTGTGTCTAAAAAGTAAAAATAATTGCTTAAAATATTAAAAAAATTCAGTGAAAACAAAAAAACATGAAAAATAAGAATGTTAAATTTTCTGAAAAGTGTTTTTTAAAAAATGAAAACAAGCAAGCTGAATACTATCCACGTTAAAGTTGCGTTTGATTTATAAATTTAAAAAAAAAATAGATATAAAATATAATTATATTTTATTTTTTTATGAAATAAATTATAAATATTTATCTTTTAAAATTTAGGTCTTATTTACAAACAAACTATTTTAGTAATTTTTTAATTTTTTATTAAAAAATGTGCAGAAAAATAAAAGAGAGTTATGTAATAAGTTGTAGTGACTTTTTGATTTTATAATTAAAATACTTAGTCTCCAAAGAAGGTCTAATTTAAAATGCAGTTTGTTTCTTGTTATTTAAAAACTTACAAATATTTTCTCGTCAGAATTTTTTATTTGATAGAACCAATTGAAAAATAAAGATAGTCTTTGGCAGAGTTTTAAAAATATGATTTGAGAATAGAGTTGTATTTTAAGTTTGTGAGTTTTAAAATTATGATTTGAGTGTAGAAAATTTGTTTGGTTATAAGTTTTGTAAAAAAATTTCAAAATTTAATTTAAAAAGTTATAACTTATAACCAAACACGCAACTCAAAATTCTATTAAAAATTTTATTCAAAATTTATAATCAAACTCTTTTTAAAATTCAAATAAAAAAAAATGTCATTTTGGTCTAAAAATAATAATTTTTATACTTATAAGATATAAAAAACAAATATAATTTTTTTTTTCCAAATAACAAGTGGTGATTGGCAATTGCAAAACAATAAAAATAAAAATAAATTACACTGTTTTGTTCAACAGGCTGGAGACATCTGAGTAGACCCAAAATTCAAAACTCCATTTTGAAAGAGAGAGAGTAGTCAAACGTGAAAGAGAATTACATTTTGAAATATATGGTGGAATCCCATTTTGAAAATTTCATCTAAACATGAAATGCAAATGGAATGGTGGAATTATATTTACAAAACATAACCAAACACAGCCAAAATTCTTAATTTTTTTTCTTACACAATAATAAAATTACATAAATTATTAATTAAAATAAAATTTTAAAATTATTAATTGATTTATTAATAAAAGAGACCAAAAATTTTAAGGGTCAGGATGAAATTTTTTAAATCACATGAAACTATTTATATTTTAAACAAATTTTAATAATATATTTATAATTTACCTTTTTTTTCTTAAAAAAAATAAACTAAATTATATTCAAACCAATAACAAAGACAGCGTTAGTCCCATAAAATGTGAGACCATGAGTATGGGATTCATGTAAGTCCAATTATATGGTTTCACATAATTTATTTAAGATTTCTAATGCTTTTTAAAAAATAAAAGAAAACTTTCATATCAATGATAAGACCAAAAGGAAATTACAAAATTATAGAAAAAAGTATTACTTTAATTAATAAAGTTAATAAAATTTACAATTAATTTATAATTTATTTCAAAAAGTACTGTTTTGTAATTTTTTTAAAAATAAAAAGCTAATAAATAATTAATTTAATTTTATTAAAATTTTTATTAAATGTCTAATATAAATATAAAATTTATTTAATGTAGATTTCATATTTATATAAATATAAATATTTAATAAAAATATTAATAAAATTTTAGAGGTGTCTAGTATTAATAAAATTTTAGAGGTGTCTAGTATTTTGTTTTTGGTTTAATTACCGCTCATGAACACCAAATCAGCGCTATTTAAACCTCCAAGTATCAAACTTTTGCAACAGAGGGAGAGAGAGGCAGCGAGAGAGAGAGAGAAAGTTGGCCGGCGATGATGATAGCGTGTCTAGAGCGTTTTGTTCACGAAAACGAGACCGAAACAAGAGCAGAGGATGATAACGGTCGACTGTGCAGAGGGCTAGAGCTTGAGGGTAGTATCGACTACTGCTCTACCGGCTTAGCCAGTAAAGATTTCGGAGGCATGCAAGGCGGGAAGGCCTTAGCCCTGATAAGACCAGCAGGTGCGGAGGACATAGCGAGAGTGGTGAAAGCGGCATGGAGGTCATCGAATCTGACGGTGGCGGCGAGGGGAAATGGGCACTCGATCAACGGGCAGGCGATGACGGAGGGAGGACTGGCCATTGATATGAGATCAATGGATGACACTAACTCAATCAAAGTGGGCAGATTCAACAACGGCTCCGCCTATGCCGACGTCAGCGGAGGGGCATTATGGGGAGATGTCTTGGAAAGATGCGTTTCGGTATATGGACTGGCGCCGAGGTCCTGGACCGACTATCTTGATTTGACGGTCGGGGGGACACTGTCCAATGCCGGCGTTAGTGGACAGACGTTCCGTTTCGGCCCACAGACCTCCAACGTCTCGGAGCTTGAGGTTGTCACCGGAAAAGGTGATACGCTGGTCTGCTCCGACACCCACAATTCCGAACTCTTCTTTGGGGTTCTTGGTGGACTTGGTCAGTTCGGAATCATCACCAGGGCTAGGATTTTGCTACAGACGGCCCCGGACATGGTTGGTATTTTTCAATTTCTTCTTTTTTCTTTTTTCCATTCCATTTCTTTCTTCCTTTTAATTCCGTTTGGCTTTTTTTGGTCATGATTAATTGTGTTTTGTGCATGGACCGACTTATGATACGATATATTCATAATATGAATATGCTTTTTCTTTTCTTTTGTGTGCGTGGGTGGTTGATTAGGTGAGATGGATAAGGGTGGTGTATGCGGAGTTTGATGATTTCGCTCGGGACGCTGAGATCCTGGTGACTCGGGCCGACGGCCAGTCGTTTGACTACGTGGAAGGCTTCGCGTTCGTCAACAGCGATGACCCGGTCAATGGGTGGCCATCGGTGCCCTTAGACCCGAACCACTTCTTCGACCCGACTCGTGTCCCCAGGAGCGCTAGCCCTGTCCTCTACTGCCTCGAAGTGGCCTTGCATTACCGAAACGGCGACCATCCCTCCACTGTTGATCTGGTAATTGTCAACTTTCAAATTCCGATTTTACCCCTACTCTCCTGTTAAAATATGCTTCCTTTTTTTTTCCCTTTCTTTCATAAAATGTTGCTGTTATGCCAGCCGTTTGATGGACGATAAGAACCCAAATTTTGATCAGCCGATGAGTGTTTTTTTTTTTTTTTGTGGAGAGTTGACTTCGATGACAATTGGAGCACTCGTTCACTCTCTTACTTTGGGTAATGATTTGGAGTACTTGTAATTAAAAAATAAATAATAAAAAAAATCAATCAACGAAACTGACTGAATTTAATAGTATGATCCGTAAAATTTAAAGTTATATGTGATAACTAAAAATAGTTTGGTTAACAAATAATATAAAGATAAGTGGGGCTAAAGTTTGCGGATGGATGGACACGAGTCACCCCAAGTGGAGTGGGGTGTAGCAGGGGAAGTGGAGTTTTTTACCTCGGTGGTTGCTAAGTGGATAGGGGGAGGGGAGTGGCCATGGATCTTGAATGTTGACCACGAATCGAGTAGGTGGGTCCCAGTTAGAACCAACAATGATTTAGACCATTAATTTTAGTATTTTAATGAAACACTAATGACTTGGTAATAAACAAAAATAAAATAAAATAAAAACAAATCAAGATTAAAATATACATTAGTGTGAGTAGAGTCTACTACCAACTCATTAGAGTTACTTTTAAAACTCAAAAATTAGATCTCCAAAACATTTTTTCAGTTAAAACTGTCCCCACTTTTAGAAAGAAAATAGAAGTCAAAAAAGAATCTCCAACTTAAGCCTATTTTGAAAAATAAATTAAAAGTTAAAATTTTAATTTTTTTAATATTTTATAAAATATATAAAAAATAAAAATAATAATATGATTTTAAAAAGTTAAAAAAATTAATTTATACTTGATTGGCAAAATAAGCCTAACACGTGTACGAAGCACAGACGATGAGGAGCAGGGGGTAAACTCTCAATGGTCTTCGATGAATGACACACAAAGCACTTTCACTCCAGTAAAACTGATCTCTGTTTTTCAACTATTTATACTAAAAACTTGGAAACAGATATACAGTAGGGAAAATTATAGAATATTTCTAAAATATTATGTATTCTTATTATTTAATTAATTATTATTTATCATATTTTTTAATTATTTAAGATAATATTTTATTTATTTATATTTTTTTATTAATCATAATATTATAAAATATTACGTATTCATTTATATTCTAGACTATTAAATAATTAGATATACATATACAATATACAGTAGTGGGTTATGATGTATCTTCCCTTGGATTTTCTGACACAGCAATGTAAAGAAACAACCGTGGAAGAGTGAAATAATTACGAGTATGACACCAAACAAAACTGTAGCTTTCCAAGTGGTGTAGATGTTACCAACAGAGGTTAAAACAGTAAAATGTCGTATCAAGTAAGCTGTCGTGTTGCTGATCATGGAGATTTCGGGTGACATTTACCGGTCCCCACAAGCCCACAAGTGGCCGTGAAGCCATCATTTTCCGGAATTTATAAATCAACGAATAGTTTCTCGTCCCGTAGTCCCTATTTGTCAAATGACGTAAATGACCTCTGATTTATTTCCATGGTTTTTACAAGGGGAAGGGGTCCCATGCTAAACAAATAGTATTTATTTTATTTTACTATAATTATTATTATTGTTTTTGTTTTTGTTTTTGTTTTTGTGTGGTGTGGGGGATGGATGGGGCAGGTGGTGGAGCGAATGCTTGGAGGTCTGAGATTTTGCGACGGAACGAGGTTGGAGAAAGACGTTAGGTACGTGGAGTTTCTAATGCGAGTGAAGGAAGCAGAAGAACAGGCCAAGATGAATGGGATATGGGACGCCCCACACCCGTGGTTGAACCTGTTGGTGTCCAGTACGGACATTGCTGATTTTGATCGTTTGGTCTTCAAGAACATCCTCAAGCACGGTGTTGGTGGGCCCATGCTCGTCTACCCAATGCTGCGAAGCAAGTAAGTACCACCACCACCCCTTGTATAATGCATTGCATACAACATTCACACATATCATTTTTTCTTTATTTTATTTGTGTGTGTGTGTGTTTTTGGAGGGCTGGTCACGTGTGTAAGCTTGACATCTCCGGTGAGGAGAAGAGGGAGAGGGTGGGTGGGGGTTAAAGTGCGGACATCGTGGTGAGTTGAACACGTGGAGTCCATGTGGACATTGGTGGGGGTGGAGACCCACAGGAGGAAGCATTGTCCAATGTTCACCCCCCGAGTCAAAGCCCAATAAAGAAATTGACGAAGCCAAGCCTAGCCCATAGGAGAAATTACAATTCACTGGTAGTTTTTAAAAGAAATTTTATATCAATGGTAAATTATATCAATTTTAATAATTAAAATTATTAAATTTTATATGAATTTATAAATAGTTTGTGAAAGTTTCACTAGTATGCAAATTTTCAATTAAAATACACCACCTTTTTATTTTTATTTTTTTAAAAATTATATAAAATGAAAAATTGAGCCTTTGTAATATTGCTACCTTTTTGCCTTGCTTGCCTACCAACCTATTTCGTAGTTCGTTGGTACTGGGGACCCACCAATAATAAATACACTTGAGAGGTTGGAGGGAGATGATATAATTTTAAAAAAGATAAATTATAAACACACTTCTCAGATTTATTTAAATTATAAATTAATGTTTATAATTTTAAAAATTACATTATATTTCTTAAGATTTTTTATTTCATAATAAATAGATCATTTTATTAAAAAAATTATCAAGTTAATTAACACTTTTTAATAATGTTAAAATTTTATTTTAATTAATAATTCAGATAATTTTATTATTGTATAAATGAACAGTTAAAAATTTTACTTTTTTAATTAATTCTGTTTAATAAAAAAATTTAACAGGGAGATATTTATAATTTTTCAAACCATAAAGAACAATTAGTATTTTAAGTAAACTTCAAAAGATGTATTTGTAAATTATCTTTTTAGAAATTAAAATTTCTTAAATTATTGAGAAGTATCTATTTGTCTTCAAAATAATAAAAGTTTAAAAGTACTTTAAATAATAAAAACGTACAAATTAAATAGTTAACAGGATGTGTTAAAGTAAATTATGACAATAGTTTAGAGAGTCTATTTATATTTTTTTATAATTTAATGAGATAAAATGATACTTTTCAATAATTTAAATAATTTATTTATACATTTTTAAATTTTAAAAGACCAAAATGATAATCTCAATGATTGAGTTGAGTTGAGCTTTGTACGTCAAATTAGGTGATGGAGCATTAGTTTGGTGGTGGTGGTGTTGTACTTTACAAGTTCTCCCTCCACAAGATGGCCTTTTTCTACAATTTTGAAACCACTCCAAATACGTCACGTGATACTTGCACTTGCCTTGGCCTTTTTCTACAATTTTGAAACCACTCCAAATACGTCACGTGATACTTGCACTTGCCTTGGCCCTTGGAGTTGGGTTTGGTGCGTTACTAGTATATATGTGTCGCAGTTGCGTATAAGCAAACGTAGGAAAAAATATTATTGGACAAAGATAGGCTAGGCCGCAACCAACCTATTCTGATTATTATTAATTTATTTTTTACTTCTTTTAAAGTATTTTTGTGTTTGAGAAAAATAAATAACAAAAAGTAGCATTAGGAATAATAATAAATAAATAATAGGTGGGTCTTGTGTTTCCGAAATGTCCAGCTTGACATTGTGGGGATGGATTGTAAGAGTTCTTGGGTGTGGGTGTGAGAAGAAGGATGATGTAAAGAACAAAAGATGAGTAAAATTGCCTCCTCCTCCTCCTCCTGCTGCTGCTGCTTCTGATGATGATGCCAATAATAGAGGGGATTAAAGGGGTAGTACCCTGGGAGGGCATTTTTGTAATTGGGGTTTTATCTTTCTATGGAAAATGAGATTTCCAAGTGATGTCTGTCTATCTTTCATTTTCAGGGGCCAGTCTTTGTTATCCCAAAACATATGAAACAGACAAACGTATTTATTCGCCAACCCACATCTACAGTGACTCCTTTCTTGATTTTTTTCCTGGTCCTAAATACCCCTTTTGATTTTTTGTTTTCAAAACTGGGTGGGGCACACTTTTTGGTGCCGAGTCTGTTTGACATGTTTCTATTTGTTTTTATCATTTATATTTTATTTTAGTTTATTTTAGATTAGGGTTACTATATATATGTTAATCACTAATGATTTTAGTTATGCCTAGCTACAGGCTAGAGGGTAACGTCAACCTTTGTTATTTCTGTGCTTTATTTATCGTTTTTATTTCTTTTGCCAAGTTTGTCAAAAATTCTATAAATGTCAACATTGTCAACTACACACAAATAAGTGAATCGTAATGATTTGTCTCCAATGGACAAGAGAAAAGTTATTCTCTAGAAAAATTAGAGTGCACTAATGATTCAATTGAAATACATGTGTGAGAGAGAATGTAAATCACAACCGGTTTCCAATTAAATAGAGATAACAAAAAGAATGGCCAATCCATAAGAAATATACATATTATTGCATGCATACTCAATTGACAGATACAAGTGAGAAAAAAATGATATGCAAACAATGTGAAAATATTAACTATATTAATATTTCTACAATTTTGTGGGCTGGCAAATAAATATTTTCATATTGTTTGCATATCTTTTTTCTACAGTTACTTTCTAGGTACTGATTAACATTTTGTGTAAAATATAAATATAAATATAAATAAAATTTAATGTAGATGGGATGATCGGAGCTCTGTTGTACTGCCGGAACGGGAGATATTTTATTTAGTGGCATTGCTCCGATTTAGTCCACCATATCCAAAGGGACCCCCATTTGAGGAAATGGTTGCTCAAAACCGTGAAATTATCCAATGCTGCATCAACAACAGATTCGATTTCAAGCTGTACCTCCCTCACTACAACTCTGAACTGGAATGGAAGCGACATTTTGGAAATCAATGGGAGAGATTTGTGGAGCGAAAGGCCTGTTTTGATCCAATGGCCATCCTTTCCCCTGGACAGAAGATTTTCTCTAGGAACCCTCAAAATCTTTGATATTATAGTATTAGTTTTATCACATTTTACCAATATTTTCTGCTTCTCTCCATTGTTCCATACCCCCCAAACCCCAATCTTCATTCTTTTTTCTGTTCTTCTCTTGGCATATGCTTATTGTACTGGTTTCTTGTCACTGGTGGGTCCCATTGCAATTTGTTTTAAAAAAAGGAACAATTTCAAGCAATGTAAATGAATATTTTGAGAAATTCTCTTCTTTGGATCTTTTGTTAATGTTCTTTCCGTAAAGTGAACAAGAGATTGAAATATGATTGCCACAGCCCACAAACTCAATTTTGAATATGATTTTCTTGAACAAGATTGCATATTATTGAGCAAGGTTGTGACTGATTGATTGATTATGCCAAAAAAGTAGTTGTTGCTCCTAAAAGCCAATCAAGGTTATTTTTTAAGATGGTTCCTAAGCCAACCAAGTTAAGCCGTCCTATTGACGTTCCGCATTCATCCATCATCCTAAAAAAAAAAAAAAATTATGTATTTTTTATGACGACTATTATATTCTGTATTTTTTATTCTTTTAATATTTTTTATTATTTGTAGAAATGGAAAAAGATTATTTATTTTAATTTTTTTTTAATAATTTATTTTTAAGTAAGGAATCAAAAAAATGAATATTCACCAAAACACTACTACAAAACAGTAAGAATATCCAGGTAAAATAAATCTGTTGGGATTTTCCTCTTTCGAAGGAATAAAAAAAAAAAAAAAATACAATTACAAATGTGCCAGTAAAAATTAAAAAATACTTACAGACACAATTCATTCCAAAAAAAAAATCAGGCAACTGTGTTTAAGGTTTTTTGAGCTCTTTGTGTCATTTGAACTACCATTTATAACATAGCACTGCAGCTCCTCTGGTCCTTTGCTAATTGTCAAAGGGACAGCAACTGCTTTGCACAAATGACACCCTGATCTCATCCACATCTTCTAATTTGATGCACGCTTCCAACCTTTTTTTAATTCAAATTCCTCTCATCAAGTGTAGAAATTTTCACTGCATTCAACTAACTGCTCATACTCTAGTATGTAATCCAAATGCTGAGATGTCTTCGTAATTTTCTTCCACGTGTATCATATAGGGATGATTTGATTTTGGGTACCAATAAAATTATTTCTACTTTTTATTTATTTAATATGAATATGTTATCTTACATATGTGCATTATTTATTTATAAGTATCTGTTGATTGAGGTGAGGTGGTGATGGAATTGCTGTCAAAAAGGTTTCACAGACTTCAACTAAAATTGGTATTATGGGGTCAATGCTCTTTCAAAGGGAGGAGGGGCATAGCCAATTAGGCATGGAGTTAGGTATCAGATTCTCTTTTCATGCCCCCAAAAGAAAAAGAAAGGAAAAAAGAAAAATCCCAAAACTACCAAAGCTTTATTAGCTTTTTCTAAACGAGATTTGTTTCTTTTCTCCCCTCGGGTTATGTTTCCATGCAAATCAAATCTACTTGGTTTCTACACTTTCTTACTCTTTCTCTTTTCTTTTCTTTTCCTTCACTTTTGTTTTGTTTTTTTCCTATATGAAAAGGAGAGAAAAGTGAAACGAGGGAGGATCGACCCACTGTAAATCTCTTTTGGTTGGTAATGATAAGATCATGATTTCTTGTAAGCTGTGGTTTTTCATTTAATCCCATGCAAATTATAAATATTATTTGTTATGTGTATATATACAATTACAATTATACTTATATATTTATGTTAGAAATTGGGCGTCCATGTAGCATGATTCTTTAAACCTTTTGAACCTGAACCTTTTGAACCTTATCTATGTAAGTTTGAATTTGAATTCAAAACTTATTTAGATAAGGTTATCTATATCTATTATTGATAGATGGATAGATAGATATTAGTTGTTATATCTGATTAATATATTTTATATATAATATATTTAATAGATCATATATCAGATATACGTTATGTGGTTTTTACCCATAACTCTGTGACTTGTGTGGGTGATACTCATTTTGTAGTATCACTCCACTGCTGGGTTGATTGATCAGATTCTAGAAGCACGTGATTTATCCACGAGATTCTTGTCTAAAAGGTATGATTCTGATATTTAATCTGCTTTATTATGTTTTATGATTTGCATTGGTATCAGAGCTAATATGGGTATTTTCGTACTTATTTTTATGCATTAAAATATGTGTATATTTTTATATAAATATATATACATGATATATGCATGAATGTTTATAAAGGAAGACAATTTCAACTCCCATTAGAAGTGTGATACAACTCATTTTTATATTCATTAAATGTTTTTTTTGATGCCATAAATGTTTTTGTTGTGAAAAATAGAGTCCGGCAGTACAAAATCGAACCAGAAAACACCCTGGAAGGCGGAGCGTGGGCCTCACGGGTCACCTGACGCCGTGGGAGGCTTTCACGCGCCTCCATGCGCTTCCACGTGCCTCCACGTGCCTCCGCGCGCGCATTAGTGGCGCTATCCACACACATGCCCTCCGGTGCCCTAACACGGGGCGCGGGCGCGTTCCGAGCCGCACTGAGCCGCACACCGAGCCGTGCACCGAGCCGCGCCGTTTTTCCTCTGCCAGCTTGGCTACAGATGTTAAAGGTCTGTTTGTTTTGTTTTTAAATTCTGAATCGCGTTAAATTGTCATAATTAATTCGTTATATCTTTGTTTTAAGCGTGGTTTGTACCGTTAGATTCAGAATTAATTTTTTTTTATCTTCTGTAAAATTTTGAAAATTTTATGAAAATAAAAAATATTTTTTCTGAAATAATAATTCATTATTTCTGGTTTAAAATGCATCTGGTGTTGCATGATTAAGTTTCTGGGGCTAAATTTTTTATTGTCGACTTCTGAAAAGTTCTACTATTTACTGGTATTATTATTTCAGTTTATCATTTTCTGGATTTTTTATTTCTAATTTTATGTGTGTTTATTAGTTATTTAAAATTTCAAAAAAATTTCAGAAAATTTCAGAATGATGTACATTTTAATTATGGCATAATCTGGATATTGTTTCAGTTTATCAGTTTCTGGATTTTTTTATTTCTAATTTTATGCATGCTTATTAGTTATTTAAATTTTCAGAAAAATTCCAGAAAATTTCAGAAGTGATATAGTTTTTGTTATGACATAATTTGAATATTAAATACAACATATTGTTATTTTTTGCCTAGAGTTTCTAATATGTTGTAATGAGAATAGCATGATTAATTGTTATTTGTTTAAATTCCATTATTAATTGTGACATAGCATGAGTTGATTGTGAATCTACATTATAATGCTATTGTATGGAATTAAAATTTTTTATCATGCTTTTAGACATGTCATAGTCAGTGGGAGGTTATTCGGTTGAGAGATATCTTTGTAGATTAACTCCCGAAAACCAATATTTTGCGCATAAATTAAATTAAATTTTGGATAATTGTCACCTGTGGCACAAGAGATGATTACGAGCATAGCGGATTTTCGATCTTGCGACTTGTGTAATATTGTCACTATTTAATTTAGATTTTTGTGGCAAAATTATATTATGCTAATCATATTAATCCCAATGCGAATTTCTCTCTAAATTGACTTAGCTTAAGGAAGTTAATTGGTTGACCTAGACTTAGTAAAGATGTTCAAATGTGAACAATGCAATCCTATTCTTTAGATGAACAAAAGTTTTGGAAACTTTAGGTCAGACCTTAATTGAGCTAAAGTAAGGAAACATGACTCAAAGTCGCCATGGTTTTGTTGCCTTGTTTGGCACAATAAAAACTAATGTGTGCACTATAATTAGCGGCATGCTACGTAGTTTTGGTTGACGAGTTTTGAAGTTATGAAATTAGTAAGCCCCCAATAGATCTGTATATGATCTTGACTATTGAGCTGCGTGGATTGACTTTGTAATTTGACTTGTAAATAATGTTACATCATTGGATGAAGTAACATTCAAGAGTCACGTCATCCAAGAAATGCGAGCTTAAATAAATTAGTCATTAAGTATAAGACGAGTAGCCAGTATGAGCAGTGTTTTGCTCTCTACCCAATTATTGGGGGTGGATGGAGCAAAATTTCATGCACTATAATGGTGTGCGTTGAAATATCACGTGAAGTTAAAAGATTAGCGCTTAGAAGCTACAAAATCTATTAACACTAAGTAAAAAGATTAGCGCTTAATGGCTGCAAAATCTATTAGCATTGCCAACTTGTTTAAGTCTAGACACTTACTGTTTCCACACTTGAGTGTGAGACATGAGAATGGGCTCCTTTGTATGATTCCTTAGCTAGGCTAACGTTTTTTAATAACGTTTACCACTAAGCGCAAACGTTGCAGCATAGTAATGAAAAGGTGAAGGCCAATAAGGTTGTTATGACTCTAAAAATTTGACGCATCGCTTGTGAGAGCATTATGTTGAATTAGATTCTTTAGCCTAATTCGCGCTTAAGTTACTTCAGGAGCTGTCATAAATTGATAGTTTATTCTCTCCTTCTTGTGGATAGTAGAATTAATTGCAAGTAACTATGAAGCGAGAAACAAAGATGGCAAGAGGAGTATCGTCATCTTTCAATTAGATGCAGTGAAGTGTATGGAGAATAAAATTAACTTGAAAGTGCAGGGGATTAGCACTTACTAGTTAAATTTGCGACTTAGGCGCACTTGGTATCTCCATGACATCCTTTTATGATCTAGTGAACATGAATTAGTCATGAGTCATTACCTAGTTGGGCCTAAACCTTTAAACTTGTTTTCGAGAACTCACACATTAAGATGATAGGAATTAGTTTATGACATTGGTCATGAACTGGTGGCTTATTATACTTAATCACATTAATGAGATGATGACACGATGGTTTGAGTAGGCCTTCTCAGGCCCACTTACTTATGACATTCTTCTCTCATGTGAATGTGTAACTTTGTTCGCAATGGTTGCGCACAAGTAAGTAGGAAAGCCGTAGAAAGTCATTTGTATTGGCGCATTTAGTCCAGTATGATATTTGTGACTAGATATGTGTGAGGGTATGATAGCTAAGCCTCAATCTCGACACATTTATAGATTACGATACACATCTGAGTCAAGACTATTTGATCTCCCATAAGTCAAAAGTTTTGAGATGATTTTTGGCATTGCACATATGAGGTCAAGATCAATTAGATAAGAGCTTTTGTGCTTTTAGTTTTGACCAAGGTGGCGAGTATCTATTTGAGTTATTTTTTAGAAAGCTCTGTGAAGAGAAATGGATG